CTTTCATATTAGTAAAGTTACGAACAGTGCGTAAGGTGAATCCTAGTTTGAAAAACCTATTTAAAAATGGTTGTGATGTGATAACGATATTATATAAATATAAGTCCCTACCCAGATATGCATATTTTTAATTTATATGGCAGTAGTATTTAAGGTCTCTTTTTTGTATATTTTAATACGTACAAAGTGCGCTCTGATACATTTCAACGAAACTTACAATTTTACCAGATAAATAGGTAGATAACAGTGTTTTACTTAATGATCATTTCCCTTCGTAGTTTACGTATATCTGTATCTTCATGTAAAAATTAATACAGATTTTTTAATACAAAAAAACGTATCAGTAGTAAGCAAACTTATAGATGGATCTTTTGTTCTGTAATCCATAACTATAGTTAGTAGGGTTATTTTAGACATCTCGTTATAACTGTGCTTAATAGTCTGAACTCGTAGTTCACAGTGCAAAAAGCCTCGTTATCAGCTGGGTTCGTTCCAAAAGAAGACAACGAAAGGGCAAGTCATATAGTCATTAATCATTGCTTATCTTGATTATACAGAGATGTTCAGCGTCTTGAGTAGGCACTTTATGAAACTAACATTTTATATAAAGACAGTAAAAAGCTATCAGAGTATTATAATATCCATGATTAACAAATATCTATAATTTATATATTCATAAATAGAATGAGTACAAGCAAAGCATAATGTAAGAATACCTATCTACCTACCTACAGTAGGTGTATATTAAGCGGAACGTATCGTTGTCGGTCTCAAAACGTTAGAACTAGAGAAGGGTTGCCTGTAAAATGTTTTATTGGTTTTATAAATAAACTAGCTTTCCGCCAGCGGCTTTGACCGTGCAGTCTTGTATTATACATAAAAATCTTTCTATTGAATCACCCTATATATATAAAAAAAAAGGAACAAAATCCGTTGCGTATTTTCAAAGATTTAAGCATACATACAGATATAGGGACAGAGAAAGCGACTTTATTTTATACTATGAAGCGATATGTTGAAGTTCTTTTACAATGTTCTTATTACCCGACTGCGCGATGCAAAGGAGGGTAATGTGTTTATCAGTCTATGTATGTATGTGTTTGTTTCTATGTGGCGTTCTAGAGAGGCATAGGCCGATTTTGATGATTTTTACGTCAATCGATTCGTCTTAATCTTGCGAGTGTCAATAAAGACATGACAGTAATCAAAATTCACCACAGCAACAACCAGACGCCATATTGTCAAAATGAAAAAAAAAAATCGACGAACTATGTCAAGTGAGGTGTGAATAGGTATTTTAAAATCATCTTTAGGTTCCTTTTATCACTTTTCATTTTAAATAATAGTTTAGGACATATTACGATTTAAAGTTGTTTAACAAAACAATAATATTCGCTAATTTTCTAACTTATTGATTTCAGTTTTTATTTAAAGTATAAACGATATAAAAACAAAAAAAAGTATAAAATAAAAATAAATAATTTAAAGAAAAACAAAAACCCCGACTGCGTAAAAACTAATTTTAAAAAATACATAAGAAAATTAACTTAAATAAAAACTAAAAAGAAAAAAACAAGCCCAGTAGTTTAGAATTCTGTTAAGTAATACTAAATAACTACACAATTGAAATAGTTTTATAATCGATACACACATAAAACAAATCATAAATTCTAATGCAGAATAGAACGACTCATAGTCGGGGCCCCTTGGGAAGATTTGATTGGTAAAATTTGAATGTTCTTATTCATTCAAATTTTACCAATCAAATCAAAAATAAAAAACATAATATCATTATAAAAATAATATTATTTTTTTAGTTTTTAAAGCTATGGCTTACTTGTAGCGTAAAGAATACAGTTAAACCATTTTAGACGACCTCCGTAGCCGAGTGGTTCGTACGCCGGTTTCAAGGTCTGGGGTCCCGAGTTCGACTCCCAGCCGGGCCAATGTATAAAATGGACTTTTCTGTACATAGTGTCGGGTCTGGGTGTTATGGTAACTTCGTTGTCGCGGTTACTTCATACGAGAGTTAATTTTGTCTAATACATATTTATTTGTTTAATATCATTCCTGCAACTTGAGATGGTTTCATAACTTATACACCATTTAATATACCATGTGTCTCAGGTTTAGCATTGCAATATAATTTTGGGGAAAAAACAGTTCACAACTTATTTTATCGGATAAAGAATAAAACGTTTGGTAAGTTTAGGTAGGTCTTGGTTACTATTGTAAATAAGTTAATAAAAAACATTAAGTATAATGATATAATATTTTCTGTAATATAATATGTAACAAATAAATTAATAAATCACAGTAAGTAGTTTTTTACAATTGCACATTCAATTGAATAATTGGCGATGAGCATCAGGTTTTTGTTCCAACTGAATATTTATTTTGGTGTTAAATGTACTTATTAACTCATTGCACTTTCTGAAATAAAAATATATAAAATATTACAACAAATTTAAAAAATATATATAATTGTGAAAGAGAAGAGAAAATATGTTTTAGAGCCACTGTTATTCAGTAGCTATTTTACTTACCATTGTGATTTCTGGAAAAATGGTGCTAAGGTTAAAGTTGGCCCGTGACGTAACGGGAAAGCTTAATGATCTATCAACGTTGTGGTGGACGTTTGAAGGCACCAAATGGCTATTGAAGAAATCTGGTTGATACTGAGTGGGCATTTGATTGCTAACATAATTTGGAAACGGCAGATCTTCCGAAACTAAGTTGCTGTGCCTCTTGCTTACAGCCTTGTTCTGCCACAGAATATGAGATGGGTCGTTCCATTCTTCAACCTCGCTATTTAATTTAGCTCTTTTGCTTTGATACTTTTTACTGGAATCTTTTTTAGTACATTCCAATTTGTGTTTTGTTGCAGAGTCCCTTCGAGGAGTTTTATAATTTGAAGGCACTTTGTCATGTGGAAACACAGTTGAATTACTTCGCATTTTTAATTCTTCATATTTGTGATTGGTGTAATTACATTCTGTTTGATTATTATAATCTATATATTCACCTGTAAAAGGGCCACTTGTATAGTTACTTGACATTAGGTTACTACTCGTTGGCATGAAATTGGAGTAAAACGAATTTGATATTGTATTCGTGGTTGCATTGTATAATGTGGTCCCAGAAAATTGCTGACTAGCGTAACTGTTGTCTGAATAGTCCAATATAGGCGGGAAGTGCGAAACTTGCGCTACACTACTGTCTTGGGTTGTGTTAAATTCATTATATTTTTGTGACGTCATAGCAAATTTTACATTATTACTTTCTGGATTTTTTTGTGTACATCCTCCTCCTCGTATTAATGCTTCAGCAGAATAACTATTTTTTTGTGCCTTAGATGTTTTGTCCGATTTATTAGCTTTATTTCTGTTATGCGAAAACTGATTCATATTTTCATAAGCGACTGGTGGTTTTGTTTCGTTGAAACCATAACAAGGCTGTGGCAATTGACTGTCCATTCTTGAAGACACGAGCTTACGGCTGGTATCATTAGCAAAATAACTAGAAATATGTTTTGTGCCACCAGTTTTTAGCGGTTCTGTGGTCGGCACTTGATATCTGGAAGGCATATTATCGGAAGAACGATTCATTAATTGTGTTACTGATAAAAAGTTACCACAGTTTTGTATATCTTGTGACTGGGTCGGCGGTCTATTAGTAATATCAGCATTTTTCTTTCTATCATGTGGGCCCAATGCTAAATCACCAACCAACGTAGGTAGATTTAAGGGAGGGGGCTCCATTGTTATTTCAGTGGGTCCAATAGTTCTAGTAGATGGCCACATCTGGAATTCTTCTTGAGTGGGCTGAGATGTAAAATTGTGCATAGAAATTGGAAAATAACTCTCATTATGATCTTGCTTTTTAACTGTATGATTTATTTGAGGATAAGTAGTTTTAGGATTTTCTTTATGTTCAATAGGCAAAGTGTTGCAATTAGTGTCCATGTGTCTTATTTCTGAGGTCATCCAATTAATGTGCATTTTACTCGGAGATTTTTTCGTATACTTTTCTGGTATTTGAGGTTCCACGTGAATATTAGAAGTTTTCATAATATTTACTGTTGTCGTGTCTGGGGTCTGTTTAATATTTGTTTCATAATGCTTATCATTTGGCTTAGTATTAATGTTGGGTTGCAGAGCTTCTAAATTAATGTAACTTTGATGTTTCGTCGTTGTTTTTGTAGTATTACTATTTGTGTAAAACGGCGCGTCATCAGACCATAAATTGGTTGTTTGGGAATAGAAACTTGTGATGGTATCGGTAAAAGAAGTATTTGTTTTGCTAGCGATGTTGTCTTTCTTAGCAGTGCCCGACACTAGTGGCATGTGAAATTCGGGATTAAAGGGATTGTAAGATGATGAATAGGGCGCTGACACAGTATTCAATATGTTATCCTTATTGAAACTGTTAGATGATGTAGTGGGATTAACAAAATCAAAGCTTTTATGCGACCAACCTAAATCAATATCGTAAGTCAATCTAGATGAACCGATTTTCATAAGACTTTCATCCACATTTGGGTAATCGCATTTACTTTTTGATGAATACTTTTCCATTGCACAAGGGTAAAGTGCAAGATTATTAAAATCGTGACTTGACGAAATATTACTAGTGCTGTAAATAGTATTTTTTACGGAATTGAATGGATCGCTCTTATAGAAAAAATTACTGTTACTACCGTAACTAGTTGATTGATTTTGTATAGATTTACTTATATTACAATCGAAATCTATGCCAAATGTTGTATCTGATATAGTACAATTAGTTGAAACTAACGATGGCATTGGAAGGTTTAAGAATGGATTCTCGCTAGATATATTAGAAGCAGTAGTAATTGGAGTAGTTTTGTTTTCACCTTGTCTGGTCAGCAAATTATTTTCTGGATATTTACTAGTTTCGCTATGCTTTGATAAAATTGTGGATGGAGTTTCTGTTTTAGGTACTGGTTTGGATTTTGAATCATTTGTATTATCTTTATTAAAATATTGCGCAGGTTGGATTGTTAACTTATTATCCTTATTATTATTTTGGACTGAGTTATGAGGTTCGTCTGCGGGGCTGTCTGCTCTGTTTCCGCTTACTAAGGGAAAAGACATAAGAAATGCAGCAGTTGGAGAAGCGGCTAAAAACTCTTCAGCTAGCTCAAGTCGTGCATTTCCCCCATCAACTACTGTATCACACAAAGTAGTCTCTAAAATATTTGGCAATTTATTTTCTTTATCTTTATCTATTTGCAGCGAAGCCTTCTCAGCTGAAGTTGTTTTATTTGATTTTGAAGAACTTTCACTACTCAATATGGTATTAGAAGATTTTTCTATTTTAGACGAAGTGCATTGTGCTGGTTTTTTATCTGGTATATGACATACCTGTGTCTTTTTAGAGCAATCATCAATGTCTTTATCCTTTTCTTTAATTTTATCTGTTTCATTAGATTGGCTTGATGATGTTTTGGTGATCACAGTTGTTTTATCAGTTTTAATATTTATTTCTGATATTTCGTTAGAGGAAACACTATTTTTACTGAGCCCTATATTTTCTGCTGCATCATGTTTTACTCCTTCACAACTATTTGCTTTTATTGTGGTGTTAGAATTGTTATGAGAAACTTTATTTGAGTCATCTTTTACATTATTATCAGTAACATCTTTTGACTGGGCATCAGATTCTTTGTTTTCTTCGGGCTCAACTATTTTCTCAGTGGTTTTTGATGATTTGAAAGATTTCTTATTATCTTTTTTGGATTTTGTAGCATTCTTTTTCACTTTAGTAGCTGACAAAGGTCGTGAATATGCTGATATAGGTAAAATGTTTACCATTGTTGTTTTAGTAACATCTCCACTGTTTCTATTTACTACAGGGTTGGAAAATTTATTAAGTGTTTGTAAACCTGAATCCACAAGCACAATAGCTGGTGGAACGGTTGGAAATAATAATGGTCTTGGTGGAAAAATGTATGGTGAAGCTGGTAAAACAACTATTGTGTTTTCTGGAGCTGTAACAATAAAACATATATGTATAGGTATGTTGTAAGTATTTTAGAGTACAAAACTAACACATTACAGATTATTTTGATAACTTATAATAATAATATATGTGTTAATTGTATATTAAAGAAATACATATACAATTACTGGTTACGGCAGTTAGATTATCATCTTTTTTTTATTTGACTAACCAACAAACCTCTTTACAATGATACATAATATTGATAACATTTATTTTTTTCAACTTATTGCAACAGACACTTATAAGTTACCTCCGCATACATAATGAGCTTACAATATCTATCTATTTATTTATTTTTTGCAGACATATATGTTCAAAATATATTAATACATACGTAATAAGCAGAGGTCGGAATTAGGTAGAGTTATTTATGTATTTGCATCGAAATGTTGATATTAATGTGGAGCTTCCCGGGATTTCTTTATTTCTTCTTTCTTTATTTCTTTCTTTCATTGATGTAAGTTTGGCAACGTCGTGCGTGCAGTAGTTTAAATTGTGTAAAAGTAAATAACTTTTTATTTAAAGAATCACGGGTTTTTTCCTGCTCTTTAAAATTAATCTCGGGATTTGAGGCATATCCACTTTATTCTTTTGCTGTATGAAATCAGTGTAAGTACATGAATAACTCTACTTAATTCCGACCACTGGTAATAAGCCATATAAATATTTTCTCTTTTCTTTTCATACATGAAATATTATTATATGAGGTGAATAATAAAAACTTGATTTGCTATTATACTTAAGAAAATCTAGAACATTTTTATAGAATGTGGAGGAAGAATCAAAACGTAAATCAAGGAAATCGCTACAGAAATTTGAAGTTTTAGAAAGTCTGACAACCAGGGAATTTAAATACTGTTTTTCTCGAGGGAGGTGTGATACGACTACACGGAATTCTTGATGGGGCTCGAAATCGGAAATAACTCAGAATTTAGAATTGTCAAATTTACCTCTCATTACTTTGTAAAAAAAGGCATGTCCAAGAGATCTCTGCATAATGCTAGAGAATCCATCCTGAAGAATTGCAATCTAGAATTATACGATCTTAGCTTTTTAGTCTTATACGTCGAAAAAGAGAGGTGCCAAAGGAAACTAAGCGCAAAGTGTGTGTAATGTGGTCTCCACATCACACTAACATTCCAATATACTTCTCATAAGCGCAAAGTGTGTATGGCGTAATGGGGTCTCCATATCACACTGTAACATTCCAATACACTTCTCACTAGACTATTGTAGATTTTATTTTAGTAGCAGCATGATGGAAATTTTTGGTATTCCTTATACCAATTCCTAATGCCTTGGATGCTTTACTGACTATGTTATCTATTTGAGGTACAAAGGTTACTTTTTTATCGAACAGAACACCCAGATCGCTAATTGTCTCTACTTCTTGTATTTTGTTTCCACTTATATGATAGTCATAATATAATGGATTGTGTTTTCATGTAAATAGGGAAACATATCTAAATCCGTCTGTTTAGTTTTTTTTTTAAATAAACGCCATCTGTTATAGCAAAGCTAAAGATTTTTGTTGCTAAATTACATTATATAAAAAAACTCAACCTTGACTAAAATAGTGTGATGTAGAAGTATATTTAATGCCATCTAGTTAGCACAAAATATATAGTTTGTTCTCTTTTATATAAGTATAAAATTATTTGCAGTTGAATATTTTCAAAAATATTTATTTAAAATGTTATTTTTGTTATCAATTATGTACTCAAATACCTATATAAATTATATTCGATAAATTTACTACAGTCATTGTAGTAAATTTATCGAATATAATCAGACTGTAAACAATGGTTGCTATAGTAACATTTTGATTCCCCATACAAAATTTTACTCCCATTTTCATCCCTTAAGTGCTAGTTTCCAGGATAAATTATAACCTATTACCTTGAATGTGTGAATTTCTAACAATATTTGTTAGAAATTGTGGTCCCAACTTAGACTCAGCTGTAGAAAGTTGTGATTAGCTACTCAGTTGATTGATATTTAGCCATACAATAGATTGGAACCACATATACATTGCTATCAATGATACATTTGGATCAATATTTTTGAAATGATTAAAAATGTTGAGGCATATCAGAACTGTTGCATAGTAGCTTCACATACATGTGCCTTTGAGATCAACATTGTATTTTTTATACTAAGTAGATTATTACATCAAGCATATATATTTTTTAGAAAGTACTTACATCTTTTATTGTTATTCACATTTGTTTTTGGTAACAATTGTGGTAAAATCTGTATTGGTTTTTGCTTCAATGTGTTTGTTTCTATTGTCAGATTTGGATTTAAATTTGGTTTTTCTTTTAGTGCATTTCGTTTTAGTTTCTGCTGCTTGACAGATTTACTATACTTGGTATCTGCAATAGCATAGGTTATGATCAAAATATATTTAAAAAAATAACCTAAATATGTAGAACATTAATTCATCATCAATATTCTATAAATGTTGCCAGACCTTCCCTGTGAAATGAAAACATTGATTAGGAAAGTGGGTTAACCCACTATGCAAACTCCTTATATGGTAATTAGTAAATATATACAACTAGTAGTCATCAAGGTGGCGTAGTGGATAAGCACTGTGGCCCGCGATCGTTGTTGTTAAATAACTTTCGTAAGGGTCGGTCATGAGATGGGTGACCAAAAAAATATTATATTTTTTACAATCTCATGCCACTCTGTATTTCGGAAGGCACGTTAAGCCATTGGTCCCGACTACATTTGCAGACGTAAATACCCGCCAATCCGCATTGGGCAGTGTGAAAGGTCAGGGCTCATCCCCCTTAACCATCCATAAGAAAGGCCTGAGCCCTTGCAGTGGGGATGTAAAAGGACTGACGAAGAAGTCATCAAGTTATTGGCAATACTTATCACTGTAGGAACAGAAATAGGAATATGGATATCTTTTGTCCATCCTTAGTGACCACAGCATGTTTTATAATCTGTGATACACATCCTTGCTATCTTTAGAAAATGTTTCAGAATACTATAGATATGTCGCAACCAACTGGTTAAAACAGTCATTCCATTTGACAGATAATTCGTTGGTAGGCCTTTGTATATATTGTAGAATGTTGCATGCAGCTACTCAGCTAATTGAAAGTCGTTTAATTAAAGGATTAGACATTCAATTGGTTGGCTGATTATACTACTTAGCTGCGACATATACACAATAACGAATATTGTATTGATTTACACCAATTATTTTCTTGTCTTGTACTTGTTGTTGTCAATCTCCTTGTATCTAAATGATCTGAATGAAAATGTTATGATAAATAAATACAACAAAATAAAACTGAACTGAAAACAATCAACATTAAATCCCGAACTTCATTAAATAATTTTTATATTTAATTGATAAATATAAAAATGACATAAATTTTAAAGATATTGCATTAAATCATAAGTAAACAACCTATATATGCTTACACTTACAATAATTCTTAAATTATTTAGAAGCAAGGGAAATAAATTATTGAGTTTTCAGAAATTCATAGTAATACAATATAAAATAAATACATTTTTAAAAATGTAAATGGAATAGAATTTGTTTGTATCAATTTTATGATATAAAAAAAAAACACTAAACATATACTCACTTGGATTTTTTCTACATACAGATATAATTACTTGTGTTGATGCATCTTTCTTGACTTTATTTTTAATAACATCAAGTTCAACTTGTAGAGCTAAGATCTCTGCTTCTGACAAAATAATATAATAATTGAGTAAAACAGTAGACAACTAAAATGAAAACTATTATAAACAAAAAATTCTTAAAAAAGCTAAGGTTTTCTTATTGGAGAAGCTGAAGTGTAGTAGGTGATGTTTTTACTTACTCAACTGTGTGTTTTCTTGTACGCTGTTTGTAAGATATAAAGTAGCTTTTTGTATAATTTCAATCTTAGGATACTGAATATTTTCAGTTTCTTTGCCTGTACTCTGAGCTTTGCACATATTTTTTACAATCTCACCTAACTTTGAAATAGCTTCATTAAATTTATTTCGTCTCTGGCGTTCCCATTCTCGACAACGACTAGAAAAACATAAGATTCGAATTTCAATACATATTTAGTTTAATTATAGTTTTTTTATCTTATAATATTTTCTTACCTAGGTGTGCGAGATTTATTGCCTGTCGATTCCATACTGACAATAAATAGGGAAATATTAACTGTTGAATTAATGCAATAAACAAAACTCATAAACTTTATAGTTTTACTAATTATGTCTCAAGACTTAAATCAAATAAAAATCTTTATTTACACATAAACACTCGATTCCTTTCCGATTCCTTCAAATTTGACAATACGCTAAACTAGGGACGTCTGATATCAAGAAATTGAAATATCGATTTAACGTACAAAAATTTAGTCTGTGAACGAGGAAGTATTTAAAAAAAATAAAGCACTAAAAAGCACCTCACTAGATGGCGGCTCTACCAAAAGTTGATTTTTGCTGGAAACAAATGGACCGAAGATAGTCATTTCCATTTCTTTTAACTAACATATTAAAAAAAGTGAAATTTACGAGTTCGAAACTTTGATATAAATACAAATACGAAATAGTACAAATAGAATATGAGTTGTTTATTGAGTTTTGAATATTAATTAACATGGAGAAATCAAAAAGCCGCAAGTACCGTAGCAACATATAGTTTGATTTCGAGAATTAATGTTTTTTTTACCCGATTGCGTGACGCAAAGGAGGGTAATGTGTTTATCAGTCTATGTATGTTTGTTTGTTTCTATGTCAAATGCGTAGGCCGATTTTGATGATTCTTACGTCAATCAATTCGTCTTAACCTTGCGAGTGTCACTAAAGACATGACAGTAATCAAAATTCACCCCAGCGACAACCAGACGCCATATTGTCAAAATGAAAAAAAATCGATGAACTATGTTAAGTGGGGTATCGTTGCATAATGTATTTTAAAATCGTCTTTAGGTTCCTTTTATCATTTTTCATTTTAAATAATAGTTTGGGATATATAACGATTCCAGTTGCTTAGCAAAAAATTCTAGCTAATTTTCTTACTTATTTAAGTTTTTACGAGTATAAACGATATACAAACAAAAAAAAACAGAGAAAAAGCATGAAGAACAAATATTTTGGTAAAAAATAAAGCATATGTAGCTTTGAGCCGAGTTAGGTTTCTAGAGGGACATCAGTAGTTTAGACCACCGCTAGTTTCTTAATAATCCCCACTATATTAACTCCCTCAATGAAATGACTAGATTGCAAAATTTACCACCTTATAACGAAGTCTACGAATCGTAATTAAAAATATAAAATAAAATAAATAATTTAAAGACAAACAAAAAACCCGACTTTGAAAAACAAATAAAAAAATACATGAAAAAATTAACTTAAATAAAAACCAAAAAGAAAGAAAAAAGCCTACAGTCGGGGATATTTCATCCTTAAAAATCAGCATTTGACTTTTTTTGGTAAAAACCTTATTAAATATATCGGGTTGGCACAAAAGTAATGAGACACTTGGTTTAAGTTTTTACTTTTTTATTATTATTACAATAAAAAAAGTTTAGTCAATGATATAATTGCCATTAGTATCTAAGACTTCTTGCCAACGATCCGGCAAAGTTTGGATGCCTTTTGCCCAGAACTCTGATGGCTGTGCCTCGAATAAGTTGTTCAATTCCGCCTCTACGTCAGACAAATCATTAAATTGTTTACCCCGCAAATGCTGTTTTTCGGCGGTTCTTTTGACTCGGCTTCGGTTGAGTTGGTGGCGTTTCTTCTCGAGGCAGCCAAAAAGCACGACGTGTATCGTTCTCGTAATAAATCCATGATTCATCTCCAGTAACCAGATCTGACAAAAACTCTTTACGTCGGGGTCGCAGCAAAAGTGACTGACAGATAGCGACACGGACTACACGACTGGCGTCTGTAAGGATGTGCGGTACCCACCGAGCCAAAACTTTTCGATAACCAAGCTCATGCAGATGGTGTTACACGGCGTGGTGACTGCATTTAAGTGCTTCCGCTAATTCACGAGTGGTAGCATTCGGATTCAACTGCAGTTCGCGGCGCAAATCGTCATCATTCACTGCGGGTGGTCGCCCTGAGCGTGGCTGACTTTCAAGGCTCCTGTCTCCTGATTTAAAACGGTCAAACCATCGGGACACCGTCGCATGGCTTGTACTTCCAGCGCCTAATGCATTGTTGATATTGTCAGCCGCAGCCCGCGCACTGTGGCCTAACAAGTACTCGTATATGTATAGTGTATAAACAAATCGCGAGCGCGGCTTTATATACCCTACACCAGAAGTACCTAGAATGTTCTACAACATTCTAGAATATTATCGAAAAAATTGATTTTAAAAAGGAAATGTTATAGATTTTTCTAGTGTGTCTCATTATTTTTGTGCCAACCCAATAGTATTTATAACGGGAGTTTAAACTTAAGCCAATTGAACAAGTCAGACAGAACTGCGTCGAGACTTGCGATACTTTTTAACCAACTTCAAAAGAAGGAGGACCGTGGGAGAGCCACGCTTCGGCATGGTATGGAGGTATGGAGCAGATGATGCCACGATTCGGCATCATCTGCTCCATACCTCCATACCAGCTACATCAACGGCTCAGGATACCGACGAGGGTCTTCGCAATTTATTTATGAGTGCTTCTTTATAAAGATTTTTAATAAATATTCTGTTTCTCTGATAAAAGCATTTTTTAAGCATTTTCGAAAATATTTGGCATTTTTTTAAATTTAGCAGAAATTATTTTTTAGAGTTGGCAGCACTGTTTTCCACAGACTTAGTAGGTATGTCATTTTCTTATCGACAAAAATTTCACAATCGCATTTTGTGTTTCATTTTACCCTACGGTTTGAGTTTGTTGTGATTTTTAGTTATCAATAATAATTTGATTTGCTTTTGCAATTGATTAATCTCACCTAATTATAGTGTATTTTAAAAAGTAAGTATGATTTATACTAATAAATTCCTTTTATTAGGTATTATTATGCCATGCTAACCCGTACCTCATTTATCATCTTTGTTATCGCTTTTTGTGTTCTTCAGTTTCCACAAATTTATTATTGTTAAATTGCTTATTTCTTGTGATCCACAGATCTTGACAATGGCACTTTATCCGTCTTTAGAGGACATGAAAGTTGATACGATGGTTCGAGCACAAATGAGTCATCAAGCTCCACCCTCCAACGCACATCGTGCACCAAATGCACCAAGTGCCTTGGGTCATGTTTACCCTGCGCTTGGAGAGTACATGGGTCTCGAATTGTCTTCTGATGTTATTGCCCTAAATATGCCTGAATATCAGATGCAAGTAGTAAGTTTAAAAGAATCTACTTGATTGTGTCTTCTAAATTTACTAAGAACAGACAATAAAAAATAATTAGATGTTAGTTTATTATGTCATTTCAATGGATTAGTAGTAATTTATAAAATCATTCATAAAAATGTAAAATATATTACAAAAGCTCCATTGGATTTACTATCAGATAAGGCTTAGCAATAATATAATTAGGCATAATTTCCCTTTGTAATCATTTAAATACCTATGTAACCACTAAATATTGAATTTATGGGTAATTTTACAATATCAAAATACCATTTATATATTACATAGTTATTTGTAACTTTTAAATGATAAAAACACATGGCTACAAATATTTTAAAATACTGTTAATAATCTTATAACATAGGAAGGATCTCTTTCACATTATTCATTTGTTTCATTTGTTTTTATATAATAAGTAAAGCACATCTAATGCACAAACTTAAGAACCCACAGATAAAAAAAGTATAACGAAAAGAGAATTTAATTACAATAAATATATAAACTAATAACTATAATTATATAAAAACACACATCACTACAACACATTTACATGAAAACACTCTTACTATCAAACATGTACACTTACATAAACATTCAACATACATATTCAAACACAAATTTACTACTTAATTGTTCTTACCTTTTAACATTTTTTTCTAAAATTTTCCTTGTAGTAAAATTACCACATAGTTACTTAGTTATTTAATGCAAAAATAATCATATTCCCTGTGGGGTGGGTTCTGGTGATCTGTATTTTAGGTTATCGCCCCTCCCAGTTAAGATTAGTATCTTAACAATTTAAAAACTACTCTAGAGTGAAGAGCATGTGCTTAATAGCCTACTGCTTGAATTTTTAATTAATTCTGACTTTTTGTCTAAATTCAGTATCTCGAGTACAATGTATAAATGTAAACAGTTTAATTCGCTTGTGTAAATTTGTTTCTGTTGATGAATTATATTGATAAACTTTCTAAAATTCATTTATTCAATACTATTTACAAATTTTAATGTGTGACATGTTACATTACACAATATTGCCAACTTTACTTAAACCAATAATTAATAACAATATATATTATAATTTTTTTTTGTAATTTATGATAGCTTTGGCAAGATCTTATTATGGCATCCTTGAACACAAACATTGATATTTGTTCTTAAAAATTTATTATAACGTTTTGTTTTAATAAATTTTTTCTCTTAATTTTAGGCACCAGCTGGAGGTGGCATATGCAATGTTATTGCACCTCTTTCCTCACAATCACCATCGCTTATTAAAGCTACAGTCACTGGAGCTATCAGACAAGTAGTCTTATGTAAAGATAGGGATGGCAAATGTGGTCTCAGATTGCACTCTGTGAACAATGGGGTATTTGTGTGCTATGTTGCTGCAGGTAGCCCAGCTGCTATAGCTGGATTGAGGTTTGGGGACCAAGTACTTGAAATAAATAATGTGGCATTAGCTGGAATGTCTATGGATCAATGTCATGCAATTTTGAGAAATGCACCTGCCAACGGGATTGTTATGGCGGTCCGTGATAGGTTTGTAATATTTTATTTTCACAAATAGTATGTAAAAGTTGAAGTGAAACAGTTACTTTTTTATCTGAATAGTTTTCTTTTGTATCATTCTCTCCATAAAATTATATGTTATTTGTCCTCAGGCCATTTGAGCGTACAATTACACTTCATAAGGATTCTCTTGGACATGTTGGATTTCATTTTAAAGATGGAAAGATTGTTGGGCTGGTGAAGGACTCTTCTGCTGCCCGCAATGGACTCTTAACAGACCATCAGATTCTAGAAATAAACACTATTAATGTTGTGGGCATGAAAGATAAGGAAATATCAAAAGTTATTGATGATAGTCCCTCAGTTGTTAACATAACTATAATACCATCCTATATATATCAACATATGATAAGCAAGTAAGTGACGTATTTTGTATAATCACATTCTATTTTGTTTACAAGTGCAATCAATTGTGGAATTATCCAGCAAGTTGCAGTGAAAATACAGTTGAGTTATATAATATCAGTTGAGCTTTTGTACTTTTGCTATTGGTGTATTATCACAGCATTTCCCACACTTTCTAATTATTTATGTCATTGATTTATTTTGTTACACATAAGTATTTTCATATTTATTTAAATAACACTTTAGACTCATTGGGGATTTTCACACTTGATTTCCTGTTATCAGGTTTTACTTATTAGTCATTGTTATCTGAAGTCTCATTGGACTTTCATACTTTTGCAACATCATTGCACGGACATTTTAAATGACATGATTTATTACACGAATAGTCCCAGTAACGATAATTGAAGAAATCAGTTCCCAAGTCAAATTAAGAATAATATGATCAATATTGCATTCACAATGCTATACTGGAATGTTTTAAAAAATCCACTCACTTTTGTCCCTGGTTCTCTGACATGGGATTTGAACCCAAGACCTTTCGCAATTCGGATAGTCACCCGAAAAAATAAAAAATTAAGCATATCCCATTAAGAATATTTTTCAAATCAAGAACTTTAATATTCAGTTGACATTGACGTGTACCATAATGAAATGTGACGTTTTCTTGAGGCAATTTAAATTAATTAATGGATCTAAATATGTTTTTCCTTTATTTAATACTAGCATTCCGCCTGCGGCTTCGCCCGAGTGGTCTTGTATTATACGTTCGCGCGCGTGGTCTTGTATTATACATAAAAACCCTCCTTTTGAATCACCCTATCTATTAAAAAAAAACCGCATCAAAATCCGTTGTGTCGTTTTAAAGATTTAAGCATACATAGGGATATAGGGAGAGAAAGCGACTTTGTTTTATACTATGTAGTGATAACACGTTTTCCCAAAAAACTAATTTGACAGTGGTTTAATATGGTCATATGAAAGTTTTAAAATACTTTTCGAAAACACTCAAGTAAATTCATTATCATCAATCAGCCAATTAAATTAGTTAATTATATCGTCAGTAAATTAAATTAGTTAATTATATTAATATTGATGGATCAGTCTTTCCTTTTTTGATTATAATTATGTTAAGACGACGACGCTCAGTGGGTTGCAGGGCTACCATCTTTTGGGAATCAAATTTCGGGACACCGGAAGGTCATCAGAAGTAATCTAACTTCAGTCCGTCATTCAGAATATTGATTCTCATTATCAACAAAAGACATCGTGAATGATAAAAAGGCCTTATTTGTATTATTTATGGGTAGGCTCCCCACTAGGTGGATCGACGATGTTATAATTGGATCTAACATTGATCAGCATGGATATGTTTAGGGGAGGTTTACATATGGACGTTAAGTACAGCTGTTGATAATTATCATGTATATCTCACAAATAATTTTTATGTTTCAGGATGTCATCATCATTGTTCAAGGGATTGGACCGCACACCTGCTGTTTAAAATTATTTTCATCTATAGACTGCCACATCTCACGAATTTATATTTTTTGTACACAATTGGCACATACTATTATAAGGAGCATTTACATACCAAATTTTATAGTAATTACTATTAAATAAGTATTTGTATTTTGTTTATTTAAACTTTGGTATTAAACATTATGGTGACGTCACTTGAGAAATTTGCTTTTCTATATGCAAAAAAAATGTATATCGCCATAGTGCTTTACTCTATCATTTATTATTTGTATAAAATGAATGTAGTAAAGATTTTATCAATAGTGTTTATTAATAGTCAATAAGGGCTGTGAAAGATTAAATGCCGACTTATAAATAATATAAAAAGAGGTGGTTTTGGAGATTCTATACTAATGTTCAAATTATTGCTGATGTTTTTAAGAAATCTTTTGATCAACTTATTTACATGACAAAGTTCGTTTCTGTTCTATATAAAGTGCAACTGTCACCAGCTTTGAATTGAAGATATGCATTTATTATATTTCTATCTATAATACGTAATTGATTGTATTGTAAGTTTAAGAATATACTTTTTAATCTTTGACGTTCATTTTCAATTAATTTGTAACAATAGTATTTTTCATAATACCAATATCTGTCTATTATACGTAATTGATTGTATTGTAAGTTTAAGTATATACTTTTTAATCTTAGACGTTCTTTTTCAATTAATTTGTAACAATAGTATCTTTCATATTTTATGTTACTTTTGCTAACACTAAATCTATTTCTTATATTATTTGTAAATACCTTGGACGTTTTAAAAACATTCTAGCTATTAATATGTTTTATTTATTCTGTAGAAATCGCTAAAAAATCTGTTTATTAATTGTTCGAGTTTTTTTTATTAAGACTGTCGCTTTGACTTTATGGCTTAAGATTACTATTTTTTTTATGTAATTTTCTTAACATTCCCACTCTTGTAATAACAATATATGATTTTGTTAGTGTCTCGTATCAACAAACCAAATTTAATAAGTTTAATACGCAAATCCTATCTTTTAACTCGTACTAAATAACAAATTTTGTAAGTTGCCATAAGGGTCATATTATAGTTAAATAATTATTAAGTTTAATAAATAAAAAAATAAAAAAAAACTATAGGTAGTGTATGTTAAAGATATATTTTTCTGCATCCATCCTGTTAATAGTATTATATATTTTCCTGATGATACGATTAGTTTCTGTACTTCTATTTAGTCGTTAATTTTTCAGAACCGTTATTGTCGAAACATATTACCTATCTTTGTAATTATGTTAAAAGAATTGTATTAACGTTTTAATTGTAAGCAAATTTTGTTACGTATAGAAAATAAATCTTTTTTTGATAAGTATTTCTTAACTTTTGTTTTCATTACTTCGAAACTTGTAACTATTGTATAGTTTGTTCCTAAGGCAGGTGAAAAACTAGAAAAGTACTTTCGCGTATGGTGATGTTTATAGGTTGCTTGACGCCCGAGGGAGTGTATGATTAAAAAAGAATTATCCATTTGGATAATTCTTTTTGGCGCCATCCTTCTACCCGCCAGGATACTTTGTAGCGGCTTGTGTCAGGTAGTCCAACTACACTTTGAAATTGTCCTTCAGAGCTGGTCCTAGTGGTTGAAGAGCCCTGATTTGAGGTAAAAATTTCTCCTACGTTAACAAAAAAATGGTAATCATATGCGAATGTCAACAGAAAAGTCGTTATTTTGCATAAGTCCATTGCTATAACTGTGAAACTGAACCACTAGAGGTTGTAAGACCTGCCATGTTCTAGCCAGATGGACCAGAGCACAGCAGGTGTAGAGGGTGGAAGGCGAAAAAACGGATAACGACCTAAAATATTATGTGAGCATTTAAAGTAAACCGCATATAAATTTTAAAGTTGTTTACTTAAAACAATAATTAATTATGAATTACGAACAAAAAATATTCTAGAAAATAATATCACAAAATTATAAAAAAAAAAATCAATTTAATTATTAATGTAACGATAATAAATTTTACACAAATATCTTGATTAAATTAAAAATATTAATTTCTTTGTATATCTCTAATTACACTTAACATTTCTGCAAAATGTTCAGATGTATCTCTAGCTACATTTACCATTTCTGCAAAGGATGCAGACATATCTTGACACACATTTAGCATTCCTTTAAATGATGCAGCTATAGAAGACATGGCCACGGCGTTTCGCTCCTCAATTGCCACACGCTTATTCTCAATGTCCTGCATCCAAGTCGGCACATGAGAATCACTAAAACAGTCGCCTGTGAATAAAAAAATTAACCCAATAATTGATATACATATATAAACTCTATAATTTAAGATTTGACACCGCTTCTGATGCATAATATTCACAAATGTAATATTGACAAAATATGACCTATTCGAAATAATCAGAATATTTGTTTGTAGACAAAAAAGAGGACCTCAGAGTGGTTTCCATTATTTTATTCAGTCGCATAGATTAATGGGCGACGAAATAATTGATCATAATATAATTTAAAGTTTTTTTTTGTTAATATCTTGTGATCATGTAACATTTATTAACTGTTTGTTCCTTAAATAAAAAAAAAAAACTTCTTATGGCTGTTCTAACAAACATATTCACAATCATTGTTTACTTACTGGGTCGACGATAACCATCTCTTGCTCTTTGTCGTATAGGTGAACCTAAAAAGTTACAAGAACATAATATAATATCTCTTTTAAGTTACATAAAAGTTACTACTAGACAAAAATTAGGTTAACAAAATGTGAGTAATGATATTGTATCATTTATTATAATACATATAAGAAGTAGTTTGTCGATTACAACTAACGGTGTATCAGCCTTTTGTAAACTCGGTCGTAATCAACTGAATTACGTTGTTGTGTGGACACAACAACTAAGTCAGTAATTTTTTAGCACCGCACAATTTGTCTAGTAACTTGTGTTTGGTTACAACAAAAATATTTTTCGCATTACTAACCTTGCCTTGTTTTTGCATTAACTGAGGAATAGGCATGCCGGTAATGATTTGAGGACCGAGTAGATATAAATTGAACGGGTGGTGGTGATGGTGAACGTTGATCTGGAGGTGATTCAACTCTAGTAGTTTCTAATTCCAGAGAGTGTTGGGTAATTTCTAGTTCCTCATCGAGCCACTCTTCTGACTTTACAGATTCTGGGGAACCATTTGTCGAACGGAAAGACTGTGTCGAATGGTGTTCCATTATAGGAGATCGGGAAGTAGACGGAGTAGAACTACGAGTAACATCTTCAATCTGAAAAATATTTTTTTATTTAAATTCGAAGTGTTTGTATTTTACAATATTGAATTTTTCAAGATTTTATATAACTAGAACTCACATTAAAAGATAATCCTTCTAGTGCTTTCTTTCCAATGATACCTAGTAATCTTTTTTCCCATTTAGTTAGGGGGGCCAGCTTATTTGGTACACCATCAGTAGCTGAAGCAATTCTTCTACAATCGGCTGCTTTGCATTTAGTTTTTGCTTTCACTTCAATCCAATACTGGAAAAAAGTGTAATATTTAACAAGAAATAGCTTAGATAACAGGCATTTAAGTTGAGGAGTGGAGGCTCGCTACGTCACAGTTGAGTAGAAAACGTACCATAACGTGACGTCATGCGAAATTTCAATTCCATGTATCGCCGTTATTTTATGATTACGAAAAAAATTAAAATACGTGTTTAATATTTTTTAATACTCTACCTGAATCATCCCTATTAAAATATAGTATCTAAATATTAAATTGCCTACTACTAAATTAATCATTCATAAATATTTAATTTTAACAAAAACTTAATTTTAATAATTAATTTTATTTTAACAAAAACTTAATTATTCTGTAGTGATTATAGCTTAGGTATGCAAGGATATGTGATAGTTAATTGATTGAGATTAGATGATGGAGACATATTAATGCATTTCACATTAATATGTCTCCATTATTAGCTGAATGTTGGGACCAGGTTGTCTACTACCTGCTAGAGTACTCGGTTACTTTGATTGTATAGTCTGTAGAGAGCCAAACAACCTGGAAGAAACTGGTACTCAGAAAGGTGGAGCAGTCATACCAGGTGGATTGACCAACTAACTGTGACTACAAGTAATGAACGCTTTGAGAAATGCCAAAAAGAGGAATGAGTGGAAAAAACTGATAAAGGATAGGGCCATCCTTTTTAAAGACCGACACAACATTCATTCATTCAGAAATTAAGAATGAGACTGATGATAATGATGATACCTATATTATAGTAACAAATTTGTAAGTATGTAGTACACTATCTAAAACTATTTTCTGTTTACAGGTTGAAGTACTCCTCAAGTTTTATAATATATATACATAACATTATCCTTTTCATTTTTGTTTGTACTTAACTGTTCAATGTCTTGTTTGTTTTATACTGTATATAATCATGTTGTGTGTTGACAAAATAAATAGGTATCTATTATTATTTTTAGTTAAAAATGCTTAAAAAATTCACTTTGTCTCAGACACTCTGAGATCCACTTGAATATATGACCTTTCGCAATCGGGCGACTGCTCTAACCTTTGAGCCACTCAGGATCTAAGAGGACTAACGCATTTTTTAAGCAATTGTTCTATTTTCGTTTTTATTTAGTATATCATTGTGAATGCAAAATTGATCAAATATAATAATCTATTAATATTATTATAAATTGAGTTATGTTAGGTACTAACTTATTCTGCGCCATTGTTCTGGAGTTTTGGTGACGCCTTCCGGAATTTGCACTTTATTTAAAGTTACTGCTAATTTTTGCCAAGCTTTATTAACTGCTTTACTACTCAAATATCCCCTTGAATATCTACCTATGGCGATGTCTCTATTTCGTTCGGCAAAATTCAGCAGCAATTCCATTTGCCTCTCGGACACTTTCCTTCTAGCTGGCATCTAAAAAAGGAATATATATGTATCATAACGGAACAGTTCATTAGAAACCCGTTTGGGTATTTTACATATACG